AGATGGGGTGCTGAGTGTACATTAATGAGAAATAAAATGAACTTTTTTGATTTTAGCAAATGGCTGCAATGAAACAAAGAGTGAAAAATTTAAAGGGGTCTGAATACTTTCCGTACCCACTGTATGTATGTATGTGTGTGTATATATAAATTTTTTTATTTTTTTTTTCCAGCAAGTGCAGTTAGTGACAGTGTGGGCTCCATGGTAACGCAGCTCTGACAGCTTGATGGAGAAGCAGTGAGGGGCGGGGCTTAGCAAAGGGTCAAATCGTTGCGTTCTTTGTTTCAGAGCAATAAAGCCAGCTCTCTTCAACTTCTTCAGACGCTTCCTCTCACACATGTAGCAGCAAATGTCTTCTGAAGTGTCACTGGTTTTGTAACTGTCGTACAGTTACTAGTTAAATGAACACATCAACTATTAATATCAGAAGGCATGAAAATATCAGTGGTGTCAACTGAGGACCTTGGTCGAACCCCATGCGTCTGGTTTAAGGTCGCTTGAGGTTAATACGACAGATCAACACACACATACATCACATATTTTAGTACATTCCCATATAACATGATTATGATCCTGTAATTGGAATGCCTTTGCACCCACTGTTAGTAATAGAAGCAAGTGACCGACCGCAGCTGGAGGTTTATGCACACTGGGGATGAACTGAAAGTGTGTGTGTCTGTGTGTCAGGGTACATGTGCAGTCCCTCTGTATTGGACAAGGATGGAGTGAGTGCTGCAGCCATAGCAGGAGAGATGATTTCCTATCTGGCCACGAAAAGCTCAAGCCTTTCTCAACAAGTCACTGCCATCTATGAAGAGTAAGACTCGCATGTTTAAATTACACTCGTCTGTCTTTGATTTGTCTTTGTAAGATACTGCAGACTTGAGCTCTGTCTCTCTCTCTACAGGTACGGCCACCACATCAGCAAGAACTCCTACTTCATCTGCCACGACCAGGATGTGATCCGCAGCTTGTTCGAGCGCCTGCGCAGCTACGGCGGCCAGAAGGACTCGTATCCCACTGAATGCGGCCGCTTCTCCATCTCTGCTGTACGAGACCTGACCACCGGCTACGACAGCAACCAGCCCGGTAACAAGGCTGTAAGTGGACCCACATGTTACAAACATGACTCCGATTAAATGATAATGCTGCTCCATCGCGAAAGAGAAGTTATCAAAAAAGAGATTCTATCTCAATTGGTTTTACCTGGTTCAATAAATAAGACAAAATTAGCAACTGTTTGCTAACACGTTTGCCATGTCAACTTAAAAAGGTGATGGATGATGTGTCAATGTTGTGTTCGCAACTTTCCACTGCCCCATGTTTTTTTTTTAAGTTACTTGCTGTAAAGGACAGATACTGCTGCAGTAGTTGCAAAAATAAACACAGAAACTGATTATTTGCTACATTCTTGTATTTAGTGTAGAGTAACAGACTGTAGTCGACCTGTGAGCCATGCAGATGCCCCGCCGTCATAGTGTGAAATAAAGATGTACTGCCGATCGTTATTGGCTGATATTCAGTAACAAATATGCGATGGGGTGATCAGCATTAATGCTTTGCATATCCCTGATAATGCGACATTATGACAAACAGATCTGTGTTGAAATCAGAAGGAGAGCTCGTAACATAGCGGCACTGAGCTAACAAGTCAATTATTACGCGATCATGTCTTCAAATGTAATCCAAAAATGTAGCTTTTGGCGAGAAACTTGAACATATAAAGTTGTTTGAAAGATGTTTTAACAGCAATACAAAATAGATATTAGAGAGGGAATTATGGCCTGTTTCACTTCCTAACACCAGCTCTAAAAAAATCCTTGAAACTACTCATGCCAAGATAATTCTTTTATCAATTGAAATACAATATTTGATTTCCTCATCATTTAAATTGTGGATGTTTTTTGTGCGACTAACAACTATAAAGGACTATAATCGAGAGAAGGGAAAACATTTAGAATGTTTGACAGTTAACATTGATTTTGGGGCGGTTGAAATAATAATTTTTTTTGCTGGTCCGACTTGTGACCCAAAACCGTGATAGGATCCGACCCGACCCATGATTTTGTGATCCGTTGCCCCACTATTGATATTGTATGCACATGTGTGTGTTGATGGATAACTTCCCTCTAGCTGTCCTTCCAAACAATAGTTTCCTTTCTGCTGATGTTTTTCCATCCATCCCTCCTTCCTCTCTGGTGTCCCAGGTCCTTCCCACCTCCAGCTCCAGTCAGATGATCACCTTCACCTTCTCCAACGGGGGTGTGGCCACCATGAGGACCAGTGGCACGGAGCCAAAAATCAAATACTACACTGAACTCTGTGCTGCTCCTGGCAACAGGTAGGTCGCCGTAGAGACCAGGCCAGGGAAGTGACAAACGTCTTCAGCTAATGATTACTTTGATTGTCCATCATTTAAACTATAAAATGTGTGAAAATAGTAAGCTTACAATTTGCCACAGTAAAACCCAAGTTGAAGGATTTACATGTGTTGTTAGTCAAACTCAAATGATATTCTCACCTTGGTGAAGCTGGCGTGAAGAATTGTTACATTTGTTTTTACTTGAACATTGCCGGGTACTTTTCTGTAGGTCAGCTAATTGTTTTAGCTGTAAATGTCACCTGGACACCGTTGATTGGCCTCTTTTGTTTCCCCCTCTGACTCTTTGCGTCCTCTAACAGTGACGTGACGCACCTGAAGAAGGAGCTGGACGACTTGGTCGACGCCATTGTTGAAAGCTTCTTTGAGCCCGAGAAGAACAAGCTGCAGCCCAAGCCGGAGTAGAGCGCCGACAGACCCCCCCCCCCACACACACACACACACTGTTCTACTGCCACACTCATTCCTGCTGTCTCCCTGTGGTGTTTACATGCACACATTTCTGTATATTAAGTATGCATCCCCCCCCCCTCCTCCAGCATCAACTGCAAAGCTGCCAACACGAAGAGTTCCAGAAGTGTCTATATGAGAACTGCTCAGACTATTGACACTTAAATGGATGTTGTTAAACTGCTGTTAAACTCTGAACGTGTAACATCTTTAATACTAGTAAAGTACCGCATTGAAAGTTATGCTGTCATTCCAGAGTTAGCTAGTTAGTAAAATGACCAAGCCTAAAAGCTTATAGCACCACCAAGTGGAGATATTGTGCTTGTACTGCTCATTACTTGATGTGAATAGTTAACATTCAAAGGGACTCTTTGACACCACAACGTTAAATCTACAAATAAGACATTTCACTTCCCAGGATGTAGTTCATGTTGGCTCTAGAAGTGTTGATCCAGTAGCTCACCTTTTACTCATGTGCCTCCCATTCCAGAATGCTGTGCCGAAAGTACAATCTAACTCAATAAAACAAATAAAAAAAAATAAATAAAAAAAAAGGTTTCTAACTGTGCACGTGGGACAAATGTCGGGAGGGGTAAAGCGCACGCACACATTACGTGCGGACACCAGCATCTTCCGGCAGCATGCATGCACTTGTCATGCCCCCATCTGAGCGTGGAGAGGAGAGGAGGGAGGTCTGCTCCGTCTTCTATATTTAAATCAAACTAGAGACCGGTGTGAAGCCTCTCTGTACATACGTTGTTGCTGCTCTGGAATACGCTTCGATCTCTCTTGGTGGCGCATCGGACAGGACTTCAGTGAACAGGTAAGAAGGATGTGCCGGCGTGAGAACAGCGGAGAAAAATCATCTCCAGTTCGTGCGTAAAAACAAACTTGTGCCGTGCGTAAATATCACAATAAGTGGTCGGAGAAGGCGTGCTGCTCTCCTCGGAAATCAACATTCTAACTTCCGTCGCTGTCGTGGTGCAGCAGACCGACCTATAGTGGCGCACTGTCCCAGCTGGGTTAAGTTAAGGATTTAGTTCTATTGCAAGGTCAAATATGAGGTAGGTAGGTAAGCATGCCGCTTCGCTTATTTCTCTTATGTAATGATTCGATAGCTGGTATGATCTATTTATTATAAGCATGCTCATCGTGTCCAGCTGTTCATGTTGACGGAGTTGCTTATTCAAACATTTTCCCCACGGATTCCATGTACGAAATCTACACGCCTCTGTCTATCAGTGATCATAGCGGTTATGATGTCGTTGTAGGGGGGGGTCAGCTGGACTGTCTCCGTCTCTCAAGACAAACCCAGCCGGCCAAGTAGCCTCCTCATACTTAAGCTGTCAGGTGTTCCTGTGTCCTTGAGACTGTAAAAAGTGTAGGTCAGTGGTCAGGTCATGTGTTTCTGGTTGGGTAAACAACACCAGGTGTTTTCTTTTTTTTTTTTTTTTTTTTTTAAACAATACCCTCCAGATGACCCTGTGACTACTGCACCACAAAGACTCAGCTGATTCAAAGTGGAGCATAACAAATTTCCCCCTTCTAAATCAGACTGCCCTGACTGATGTTTTGCAGGTAAACCGCAGAGGCAGGCGGCTTCCTCCGGCCCCCAGCAGGCCATGGAGGGACTCTACTTTGAAGTGAAGCCCAGGAGAGATGAACCCTCTGAGAAACCCCCTCCTAAAATAAGGTCGAACCGCCGCTCATGTCCATCACTCCCACATCTCGCCTCTTCCACACCGTGTCCTCAGAGACTATCTGCGAGGAAGAGGATTGCATCGTTGGGGGCAAAGGTAGAGGAGGAAGAGGAGGAGGAGGAAGTACGATACAAACTGGCGTTGATCGGCTCTCTGCCCGTCCACCACCTGACCACCATGGCCATGCTGCCCTGGGTGGTGGCAGACATCAGTAAGTCTGCAGAGAAGAGTCCGGGGGCGGCGTCGCGGTCCGGGGGACAGTCGGGCCCCTCCGCCCCCAATCAGCCAGTAATTCTGTGTGTGTCGGCGTCGTGGGTGCGCTGCGTGTCCATCCTGGGAGAGGGGGTCGTCTGGGACCCCCTGACACACACGGTGCTGTTTGAGTGTCGCCCCCACCAAGTGACGAAGCTGATTCACAACAGCCAGGAGCCCAGCAGCTTCGGCTGCCTGGTCAGAGATGCACCGAGCTGCTCCTGCTATGTGTTCCTGTGCCAGGACAGCACCAAGGTAGGTCATAAAATACAGGGGTATGCAAAGTAACAAACAATTTAAAAAAAAAGGTCTCTTATAATAAAAAACACAGCTACAACGGAAGACCAAAGGGCCAAATCATCTGCACGCCGATGGCAGACGCACTGATCAAATAAATGCCAAATAATTTCATAAGCCAGGTGGAACAGTTTCATAACTCGTCGACCAAAAGCACACGCACAAATTAGAAAGACACAAGAGACGGGGAACCATAACCTTCTTATATCTAATGACAAAAAGCTGCCTGAGCATTCAGTGCGTCCACATCAGTGTTTATCACTGAGGGAAACCGGATCTCTCTTTGGCATTACAGATTCCACGTACACTCTACTTTTACTCCAGCAACATAAACACGCCCGGCTCACCAACACACTCCTGACCTCCAAACGTCCTTTCACCTCTCCGCCACATGGCGAGCTCTCTCGCCGACCGGCCGCCCTCAGCGCTGTGAAGTCCCAGCTGGTGTCCCGAAGCGAGCCAGAGACATTCGATAGCACCATGCCCCAACATACCAAAGACTCTGCCACATTAGAGAGCTGGAGAGACAATGGAGGATACGAAATTAATCAGACAAGTCAGAGTATAAAATGGCAGCTTGACTTTGATTTAATCAGAATCAGAACCAACTTTATTGGTACGCATACATGGAATTTGACTCTGGTTTTCACTTTGGTCTCAACGTACATAAGTTTACAAGTAAACAAGAGAAATATAAAAAAATAAAACGGATGTAAGTATAAACATTTAACGACTATGTACAATAAGACACATCTATATACATATATATATATATGCAGATTAATTGCACTCGATCTCACACAGACACACACACAGGCTGTTTGTGTGTAGGGAGAGTCAAACAAGCTTGCTTTACATTCACCAAGCAGGAAGTAGAACCGAGTTGCCATGGTGACCGCTTCCTGTGGCCCAGCACCTGTTGTGTTTTTGTTTTGTGGAGTTTGTGTGTGTGTGGGTGGATGCTTGTTGTTCTCTCTCTCTGCTTCAGCACTTTGGAGAATGTGATGATGATGATGTCAGGCTGACCACCTGTTGCTCTATCTCTGTCACATTGGGACACACACACACACACAAGCATGCATGCATGCATGAATATGTGTGGCATTCCTGAGCATTGACAAATGTCTTTACAAGACTATTTTTGCTTTAGTTTATTAGATGTCACGAGCTGACTTCTAGTTTAAAATAATATAGGTGCATGAACTGCAGTGAACCAGATCTGTGAACATTTAGACACAGGAAACACTGAACCACACACACAATCCCACTTCGGGGAGTTGATGGTAAATTTATTTGCATCACAATTTGATGTACAGCAAACATCCTAGAGTGCTTAAATATGGGCTTGCATTCAAAAAAAGAGAAGATGCAGGAGAAAATGCTAATAGTCCAGATGACATTTTGCTGCACTTTATCATAACAGACATGATGAGCCCATGTGATATTAAATGTGACCTTTTGTCCAGCATGCAGTGATAGCAGTAATGATAGTTAAAGGACCAGTGTAGGATTTAGGGGGATTGTATTGGAAGAAATTGAATATAATATTCATAATTATGTTTTAAAAAGTATGACTCCGCCATGGTTCTACAGTAGCCCAGAAAGGACACACCAAACACTGGCTCTAGTGAGAGCCTTTTCAATTTTTTACGTTACCTGAAGGCCATCGTAGTTTTCCACACGCTTGGCAAGGGAGGGGTGAGCAGAGACGTGCAACCTCACCGCTAGATGCCACTAAATCCTACACACTGCTCTTTTTAAGGTAATGTAATACGTCAATGATGGCCCTCGATTTTACAGAGGTACAAGTGTGTGTGTGTGTGTGTGTGTGTGAGAGAGTGTGAGAGAGTGTGAGAGAGAGAGAGAGAGAGAGAGAGAGAGAGAGAGAGAGAGAGAGAGGCCTCAATGAGATTAGGGCAAGTACTCACCCAACAAAATCAAACTGCTAAAAAATATGACAAATATGACTTTTCATACATAAAAGTCATATGAGACGTTCAAGATATTCGAGATCCAATTCATTAGCTGTGTTTTGATATTCACTGTGCAGTAATTTATAATCATGTAGAGATGTCTGTTACGAGCATTATTTGTTTGAAAATAATCATTGCAGGAAAAAGTGTCATGAGTACAAAATGTGAGTCCTGCTGAAGAAAAGCTTCTTCTTCTGTGTGAGGGGGTCAGAAACGGTCTCAGATGGTCTGTGGTGTTTTCCTCTGCTGCTCCTGCAGTGGCACAAATTAACCACTAGGTGTCACCACTGAAGCGTCCAACGTTCACAATGCTTCAGCGTGAACATTTCACGAATGAAAGTTTGCTTATTTGATTTGGGGTGCGGCGTGTTTGTGTTTTAATTTATCATTAATTTTACATAGTTATGTAATTATTTTTATTTGTTTAATTATTTAGCTTTTTTATTACCTAATCACTATTCTGCGAGTCAAAAGGTGGTAATGACTAAAGCAGAGATATTTCAATATATTTCAATATATAATACTACAATGCTTCAACTTCACACAACATATCAACTTCCCCACCCACAGCCGAGGTCACATCCTGGATCTGGTCTGCTCCACTGGTCTCACAATACCGCAACTCTCCAGCCTCAACCTCAACATCTCTGACCACCTGGCTATCACCATGGACATTGACATCCCTATCCCCATGCCAAAAACGAAACGCAACATATCCTTCAGAAATCTCAAATCTATCTCCCCCACAACTCTTTCAGCCTCTGTTGCCAGTACCATGTCTGCCTCCCCTGCCCCGCTGTCTGATAATCCCTCTGATCTTGTAAACTACTACAATAACACACTCTCCTCCTGTCTTGATGAGCTGGCTCCCATCAAAACCAAAACTGTCTCATTCACACACTCAGCTCCCTGGTATACTCCTGAACTCCACCAGATGAAATCTCGAAAGCGCCAGCTTGAAAGACTCTGCAAGAAAACCGGTTTAACAGTCCATCTCCAAGCCCTCTCCGACTACCTTCAACAATACAAAGACGCTCTCATTTCAGCCCGGTCCACCTACTACTCACACCTCATACACTCTGGCTCCTCTAACCCAAAGGCTCTCTTCTCCAGAATAAACAAGCTTCTCAAACCCAAGGACAACACCTCCACATCCTTCACAGTGAACAAATGCAACTCTTTTCTTTCATTTTTCCAAACAAAAATTGACACCATTTACAGCAACCTGAACACCTCCCCCGCCTTTTCCATCTCTCCACCTGCCCCCCCCTCCTCCACCCCTCAGCCCCTTTCTCAGTTCTCCCTTGTGTCCCCATTGGAACTGCCGAACTTCACAACTGGAATGAGAAGCTCCACCTGCATCCTGGATCCTATCCCATCTACTCTGGTCAAGGACTGTGTCCCAGCCATCTCACCACTCATCACAGTCATCATTAACTCCTCCCTCAGCTCCGGTTCAGTCCCCGACGGTTCAGTCTTAAACTGGCTGCTGTCACCCCCATCCTCAAAAAACCTGGACTTGACCCTGACACCATGAGCAATTTCCGTCCCATTTCCAATCTTCCCTTTCTGTCAAAAATACTGGAACACATTGTCGCCACACAAATCAAAGCCCTTCATCTCCAACGATCTGTTCGAGCCATTTCAATCCGGTTTCCGTTCACAGCACAGCACTGAAACAGCCCTCCTCAAAGTCACCAACGACCTCCTCTCCTCCGACGCTGGTCACCTCAACATTGTCATCCTCCTCGACCTCACTGCAGCATTTGACACCATCAACCACAACGTCCTTCTCTCCCGCCTCGAATCCTCCCTCAACATCACCGGAACTGCTCTCTCCTGGATTAAATCATATCTCACAAACAGACAACAGTTCATCAGTATCAACAACTGCACCTCCACCACTGCTCCTCTGTCTCAAGGCGTCCCCCAGGGTTCGGTGCTTGGTCCTCTTCTGTTCATCCTGTACTTGCTCCCTCTTGGTAACATCATCCGTCAACATGGTCTTCAATTTCACTGCTACGCCGATGATGTCCTGCTCTGATCCACGCCTTCATCACCTCAAGAATTGACTACTGCAACAGCATTCTCCACGGCACATCATCCAAAATCCTAAATAAACTCCAGTACATCCAAAACTCTGCTGCTCGCCTGCTCACCCACACCCGCTCCCGTGACCACATCACCCCTGTTCTCCAGAACCTCCACTGGCTCCCCATCCCACAACGGATCCAATACAAAATCCTTCTCCTCACTCATAAAGCCCTCCACAATCAGGCCCCCTCCTACCTCACCGACCTGCTTCACCACCACACTCCATCCCGTCGGCTCCGCTCCTCTGATGCCAACCTCCTGTCTCTTCCACTCAGGACCAAGCACCGGACATGGGGTGACAGAGCCTTCTCCATATCTGCCCCCTCCCTCTGGAACTCTCTCCCCAAACACATCCGAGACTGCACTGACCTTTGCACATTCAAATCTCAAATCAAAACCCACCTGTTCAAAACTGCTTTTAATGTGTGACCACTATTGTGTATTTTGTTTTTAGTGTATTGCTTTTATATATGATGATTTTAATGTAAAGTGTCTTTGAGTTTTATGAAAAGCGCTATATAAATAAAATGTAGTATTATTATTATTATTATTATTATTATTATTAATATTGGTACTATTTTATTGTTTTCTAGTCAGTTTGGACAGTTTAAAGGCACTGGTCCATTCAATCTAGTTACTGGTACTGACAGTATTGTACTGCTCACTGCTTTGGTTACACAATAACCTCTTATTTTCATCACTAGTCAGTGTCCACCAGTGACCTCCGATTAATTGTGCTATAGATAGATAGATAGATAGATAGATATAAACTTTAGTCATCCCCAGGGGGAAATTAGTTATCTATCAGACCATTGGTGATTAATTTCAGTGATCATGATGATTCAAATAACTATCCATCCATCCATCCATCCATTTTCCACCGCTTATCCG